GGGAATTGGCTATTATGTTCGTTGTACCGGGTAATAATTTTCTTTGTGGTTTATAGAATTATTTTTGCATAGCTGTTTGTTAAAATATTATGTTTAAATGGTTTTTGTATAATTTAGAACGTGCAGATCCTGGCCATCTAGACGGTAAGCACTTAAATAAATTTCAAATTTATATTACTTTACACAAAGTCACTTATATATTGATTCCTAACCCCAGAAAATATATATGTTAAATTGAAGTTGTTTTGAATTTCAGAATGCAAAACACTTCAAAATAGTTTGATAAAGGAAATACATGTTGCCTTCCGTAGGAATAACATTTAAAAATTGTTTGCTAACCCTTATCAAAATTGATACTGCCTTAGACTAAAACGAAAACCATTGAAATTAGATTTGAGGTTAAATTCAATTCAATATAACAATTCGAGACAATGTACAATAACCTGTATATTCAACCGTGATATTGATCATATTTTATTTGATTAACAATAATTAATTTCAGTTTAAGGTAGAATGATGTAGATAAATACTAGATTTTAGCTAAGTCTAGAGGCCAATTGGTACATCCCAACAAGTATCAATTTTAGTTTTTAAGTTTAGATGAACATATTTTTGTGAAATATTGTGCAGATTTTAAGTCGTTAGTGAAATAACAAAAAATATTCAATTCAAATTTACATGTAGCTTACACCTGACTGAAATAATAATTTATTACATACAAATGCAAATGAGGCAGTACTCGTATCAAAAATAGTTTGAAATGCAAACATGTAGCCAGAGAAAAAAAATGTTCAAAATTATAGTAGCTTTGTTAATTTCATCTATGCACATACAATCAAAGAAAGAAGATGGAGACTAATTGGACATACTTTAAGACACGAGGAGCAACTACACCACAGAATATTGGAAGGACAAATAGAAGCCAAGATAGGCAGAGGACGTCCTAGAACAACGCGAATCAAAAAAGTTATTAAAGATGCCGGACTGAGAACCTACAGGGAACTGAAGAGAACGGCCACTAACAGAGAAGAGTGGAGGGAGTATGGAAGAATGCTGTATAAACCCCAACCTTAAGGGTTGGTTACTTAAAATAGAAATAAAAATTTTAAAAACAATGTTCTATATTAAAATTACAAATAAAATATAATATATGATGGTTTTTGAATACTTTTATGTTAATATTGTTAAGTTTTTTCTTGATTGTTATAAATAATATTATAATGGCTATGTCTGAGTTATCTATCTTTAATATATATATATAAGCTAAGTAGTTCTGCCTGATTCATAATCAACGCACAGCCTAAACTATGATAGCTATCGACTTGAAATTTTCAGGGTGTGTTTATATCATAGTCTTGGCGTGCACTAAGAAAGAATTTTGATTTCTGGATTACTTTTTTTTTTTAAGGGGTTGAAATGGGCAAAAAATAATTTTATATTTATGTAACTATGTACCTACTACTTGAAAATGCAATTTATAAAATAATATATTTACTGATAATGTATTTAGAGTGGTTTAACTCTCTCTAAGTATTCGTTCACATCTAAATGTTTTTTTCATAGTGTTAATTTTTTTATATTTAATGAACTTCTCCAAAAAACTGCTGTAAATAGCTTTTCTGAAGGAGCTTGTTTTTTATTGGTATTTTTGAGTGTAGAAGAGGTCGAAGCATATCTAGTCGACAGTTGAGTGTTTTGTCTTTTAATTAATGTCGTGACCAGGTTAGGAGCTCGTTTAATATTAAGCCTAAATATTTGATTTGAGAGCACTGGGAAATGGGAGTTTCGTTTAAGGACACAGTGTGGCGTGAGCTGATTTAATTTCGTTTAATTTAATTTTACAATTTTTTAGCCTGGTATCTAGTGAGTCCAGGTATATATATTATATTATATTGTATATGTAGTGAGAGAGCGAGAGTTGCGGAAAAACATATTCTGGCTGGCCACAATCTCATTGGTATTGGATTGGCTTAAATAAGATTTATGTAAGAACAATTCAGAGTACGAAAATTAATCCTACATATTTTAATATGAAAAGTGCTTTGATTTCATATTACTTTTCAGCACGTTATCGTGTGCTAAATTCCATGTTTGTAAAATTGTTTTTGTGGTTGTGTATTGATTTAGGAATGTGTTTTTGCGTGGGCTGTTACTCATATGTTATTCACTACGATACGAACCCGAGCAAAAAAAAAAAAAATGTCAAAAACAACGATAAATAATTCTGTTTTTTACACCCAATACTTCATATGGTAACCTAAATTTGGGCCTCTGGTTGAACAGTTCTGCACACGTTGGAAAAAAAAACGTTTTAGAAAGAATAAAAAAAAAAATTCATAGGTATATTCTTTAAATATTTATTAGGTATATCGTAGGTATCCAGTAAAAAACTAATTTTTGTATGGTGTTATTAGGATTTTGAGAAATAGGCTGGAGGACTATCGTTAGTGATAGAAATTATAAATGTTTTAGCTTCGATGCGGAGCTGAGAAGGCATTGTTTTTACAATGATGTGTTTTATTTTTTTATTTTATTTTTGTGTCTGGACCCACGATATCTCGTAAACCGCTGAACCGATTTCTTCGTATAGCAACTCTATAGATCAGAAATCATACCTAGAAGGTGCCTTAACGGGCCAAAAATTTAAAAAAAGTTACCCCATCCCCATCAAATTCGAGAAAAACACGTAATAAATTTACAAATTTTTCAACTTAAAATTACGATGCTCTATAACTTTTTTAAAAAATAGTTGAAAATGTTACAAATTTATATGAATTGTTCTTCAAACACAGTACTATCGATAAACGTTAACAAACCAAAAAAATATCATAAAACCTTTCCCCTAGAAGGGATAGAATTTTTTTCTTTATTTCCCTTTTTCGAGCAAAGTTTTAGAGATTTAGATCTGAAAATTAGACCGAAGATAGATCTAAAATGGAACTATAACATATACAATTTTCTCAAAAATCTGTGGTAAATTTTTTTTTTTTATTAAGGAAAATCCCCAAAAATAGGGTAAATTTACACTTTATTCGTAGTCAGTTTCTAGGTGTGCTATGTGTGTGTGTGAATCAACAGTCAACAAGTAATAAAAATATTTTCATTATATTACTATGTATGGGTAACTATGGCAACACATTTTTATAGACAGACGATCAACCCTTATCGTATCCACCCTGCTCAAGACTAAATATTAAATTTTAAGTACATTATTGCTGGTCCCACGATATCTTCTAAACCGCTATAACTGGTTTGAACATACTATCCACAGATTCGCATCGAAGCGTTTATTTAAAAGTGATTTTATCACTTTCAGTTATAATAAAATCTGTAGACCTGTGACCCCTCCGTCCCCACTATGCCCCGACCCCACTGTACTGGCTTTTTTTTGTTTAAATTTTAGACACTTAAAATAATATAGTAGATCGATATATTTTAATACTTTTCTAATATAATACTCTTCTGATATGTGAATCTCTCCATCTCTACCTATATCGCTGATTAGGCTAGGTATCTAGCAGCTTACTGATAATGCATTGGTACATTAAGTGCTTAATATATTTAGTCCACGTAATATAATCAATCAATTACTTGGATTTTTGGTGATTATTTCCATTTGTATGCTACGTATATCATTTTATAGATGAAAAATCAAACATCAATTTGATCCAAGTGAAACTTGAGGGCTACATTAAAAAACACGCCGGAACAGTATTTTCTATTTTAAATAAAGGAAGTTATTTTGTCAACCAATTTGTGGACTTATGGTTAAGTGCTTAGCCCTAAAGTCGACTTGAGAATTGGGTAAATTATTTTTTGATATTAAAATAAATCTACCTAAAAAAAAATATTGTCCAATCTGGGAGTAGACTTATTAGTATAAACGAAAAAGCTACGTTATTTAGTTTCATACATTAGTACAGTTATTTATAAAAAATAGTATATTCGCATAATAATAGTTTATTCCGAAGTATGTATTATTTTTTACATTGGGTTGTAATAATTTTATGGCATAGGAGATAATTTATATAATAATAGAATTTATATTGAACAAGAAGATTTAAAAAACTGGTTGAGTGAATGTTAATAGCTGATGGGTTGAAATCTTCTCTTCATTTTAACTCATCGTGATTTGCTGTCTCACCTTTCAGCAACGAACGGACAAATTGCTCTACACTATTGTGATCAACTGAAATGTATAAATTCTCACATTAAAATAAAATATTGTATTCGCTTCACACTTTCAATGGAATTTTTTAAAAAGTTTTTAATGATAACAGCTTTAGCTAAATCAAGAATTTTATTTATCACAGTATATATAGTTTTTAAGTATACAAAGGTTGGCCGATAAAGAATGAGACTATTTTTTTAAAAAAAAAAGTCGAATTTGCCTTGTAGATTGATGATTACTCTAATTCAAATAGGAACAGAGTTGCTTGTTGAGTTGTTTCATTTATATTACATCAAGTATTTTAAGACCTATGTTGAAAAACTTACTTTTTTGTAAGTTTGTGAGTTAACGAAGGGTTTTTGTTGGGATATCTTTATTTTTTTTTCCACATGAATATATTATGTGAATGTAAAATGTAGCACCTACTTGCAAATTAAATAATAATTGCATAACATAATCAGACTAGGTGCAACAATACCAAATAAAAACACAAAATACCCCGCACACAAAAATCACCGGCAAGTATCTCGAGACCTCAGAAAAGTTACTATTTTGCTTGTAACTATGAAAGTATTCAACCAATCTATATGTTTTTTTGGAATATCAGATCACCACAACTTTCCTAATCTACTGATATCTCATATGATCAATTCTGTTCTACCACTGGATTAAATAAAGTATAACAAACTCTAGCACAATGTAATAACTATAAGACACATTGTCAAATTGCCAGTACATACACTGTTTTAGATCATTGGTAAGTTTTTAAGAAATCATTTCTATTGTAATGCTACATAAATTTTGAATTGCGCCTATTGTTAAAGCTATTGTCATTGAGCATATATTGCTTACAATATATACTCAATGCTATTATTGACTAGTCCCGCTTAAATCAAGTGATTCGTTTAAGCTCTAAAAAAATGTCAGCTACCCTATCAACCAGACACAACCCCCAAGTAATTTTTATTGAAATTTTAACGAAGCTTTAAGAGATTTTAAAAAGTTTAAGCTTCCTTAGCACCCACCACTAGTTACTTCAATATAGATTTCTCAACATACCATTTAAAAATCGAACTGAATTTTCGGCATCTGAATCCGGAATACCAAGTGCTTTGAAATGTGTTTTTGTCAATTCTCGTGTTACTAATTTATCTGGATTATTGTTCTTAATAGCCACATATATATCTACTAGAACCTCCATAAAATCCTGAAATGTATTATCAAATATTACGCCTATATTTTTGTTATCGTAGTACATTTTTTTTCTATTTATAAAAATATCATAAATCGTTTTTATTAGTGTTATAACAAAAACTAATAATTATTTTAGCAAATTTTAGACAATTGCTATAAAAAATATTACCCGCTCTGTAATTTCAACTGTCTGTTGGAATAATAGCAAAACAAAAAAACCTCATCAATATTGTGCTTTATAGAAAATACGTTATTGGTGTTACAGACAAAACTGAATAATTATGTTTAAAAAAAGGTACCTGCTCTCTAAACATTTCAAACAATGTTCTCAATACTGTCCATTCTGTCGATGTCTGTTGGATAAATATTATTGAACACAGGAAAAAGACCATCTTGAAGTTCATGTTGCTGTAAAATATGACTTTCTACTCTTTCAAATAAGTAAGACCATTAAACGCGATACTCGTCTGATATATTTTGGTATTTTGTTAGCGAATTTTACACTTGCATGTTTTTGCAGCGGTTACCTCTCCCCGCTGTCTATTTGTTTAACGTCAATAAAAAAAAAAAAACTCGAGAAGTAGATGTATTTTATTCTAAAAAGATTATTAACAGTCATTATTTAACTTGCGAATTTTTTTTTTTAAGCCAAATAAACGCATATATCGTTGTAAGGTTTTACCAAAAACTTTTACTGTTGAAATAATTATTTCAAAAGTGATTCGTATTCGAACGATATATATTTTAATACACCCGCCCCATAAATGTATCTTGTATCCGATTTCAACGATTTATGGTTTAAGATTTGTATATAAGATATATCTTTAGCGTATTATACATTTATGTTATTCCAAATTTAAGATCATAATTGCAAGTTGGATTGAACTGCATAGGTCAGACTGCGTATACCAATTACATATTTTCGAATCTTTGTATTTATTATAGAAACAAATTCGACCTACTCTCAATCAAATTTTTGGACTTTAAGTTTCGAAAAAATAAAAACTGTCAATATTCGAATTGGCCATTTTTTTTGTTCAC